ATGCCTCATAAACTAAATCAAATACCCTAAGAATAAGTTGGGTTAATAGGGTGAACAAAACCCTAAGTGATACAACAATAATTAAAAAACACTATAATAAGAAATATTAACATATCAAACTGTAGCTTATTTGCTCTTTTATTTTATGTTTCAATTTAACAGTATTCAATAAGTACATAATGTACAAAACCTGTCTATTATAAGACTGCATGGAATATAAAGGATCAGGGAAACCTGCTTCTCAGTAAATCACAGTTCGGTGCAGTCCTGTGTAATAAAGCAAACCTGTTTGTTAGTTACCTCAAAGCTGCTCGTTCCTTAGACACAGAGCACTAAATATGTAGAATACAAAGATCATTGACAAATTTTTCAACAAGATTCTTTGAAGCAGGATAAAAACTAGTGGTTGTGAGGGAACATTCTGATAACAGGATTGGACATTTTAAAAATCTTTTATTTTGGGGGGTTTTCTGACAAAAAATATTGTTATCATGTTTGAAGTGAGTGATTATGAAAATGGAATCTCTTCATTGTTGACACAGACATTATAGTCCAAGAAGAACAGCATCTGCAGCAAAGAAGTTTCTCACAAGTACTTAAGGATAAATAATGAAGGAAATTAAGTTAGTTTGTTAACAAATATATGAGATTGATGTAAAAACTGGGCTTATGTCCTAACTTTCAAGGTGGAACTGTGCAGCCCTGTATTCTATGTCCTCACTTCTAGGTATATATAAGAGACTGTATTAACAATATGCTCATTTTCATATCTTTCCATCTGAGTTATACGAGTAAAGTTAAAAAATTAAATCTCAACCTCTATTCTTTGGGGTCTCACTCAAAACAACAATAGGTCCTGTAGTAACTATAACTGGCAGAGTCATGGAATCTGTAGGCATCATGTACAACCCCGAGTCAAAGATAACTTCAAGATGTTTTCCTAGCATTCTCTAGTTACCTTATTCACACGTGAGAGACAGGAACACTCTACATTGCCAGAGGGAAAAAAATTACTAATTGTTTTTCTTAACTCTTGAAAGCACTGGGCTGTAGCCATGGAAGAGAAGAGCTAAATCAAAGTTGTATCCTCACATACCAGACATAATAATTCAAGGCTCCAACATTATTGTTGGAGATGTTGTTCAGTATAGAAAGTAACTGGCTCTTGTTCCATAAAATTTGGGATCTACTCCCAGTACTAACATGATGACTTGCAAGTTTTTGTAACTTCAGTTTCAGATTATCCAATGCCTATTTCAGAGTTTTGCAGGCAACAGTATGCATGTCCAATACAGACATACATTTGGGAAAAAAATAGTTCACAAAAAATAAAAATATTAAAATTTATTTAAATGTGCCTAAGACTTGTATGAATTACCCCATTCTGAATACTTCTGGTGAACGACCAAGAGTGATTTGAAAAAAAAATTGCAGCCAACAAAGTAACTTGAGATGTAAAAATCCCAATGCAGAACTTTTATTCTGTTGTAACTATTACAAAGCTCATTTTTAATATATGAAAAACCAAGTTAGCATGTCTCCTTCAGAAATTACAAATCCTGTTGAAATGACTCTCTAATGAGAATGACATGGACGGTATTAACCAACAACGCATTCAAAACCTGATGGTAAATGTGGTCAAAGAACTTGAAGAGCACAAAGGTAACAAAAATTAAATGAGGAAGTCAATCCATGACATGAAAATTGGTTTGAATTTTTCATGAAAACCCACACTGAAACAATGTTGGAAAGGAAAACCCAGTAGGCAAATACAAACTTTGGTGTAAGGCCACACTAACAGAACTATGTTGAAGACATAGATTTGAAAATAGGAGACCTTTGGGCTTAGGTTTTCCCAAACATTTCTTAGGGGTCCTAAATGTCTCTACATCCATACCATCCCCCTGACCTTAGTTAGGAGAGAAATCTGGATACTAGGGAAAGAGAATGTCAACATCTTTAGCTACTTCCTGCTGGTTGGGTTTTTTGGGGCAATACCAATGGCAGTCACCTAGATTCCAGCAGTCCAGTTGAAAAGAAAATGGCAGCAGCAACCTCAAAGTGTTATCTGGCCTGTTTCTCTCTTGGAGAGTCTAGAAGTGAAGCTTTGCAAGGGAAGAAAGTGTAGCAAAGCAAAGTGAAGTGATGCGATGCAAAGAGAAGCGATACAATATGTCCTTTTTTTTTCTCCTGTGGGTGTTTATACTTTCTCAGAATCCACAACAGGATGTTTTCCAACTGGCCAAAACCACAGACTTTGCACTAGATAGTTTGCAGTGGCCAAAGATCAGGAGCCCACTCATGAGTCTGTTTTCAGTAGTGGATAAAGCACTCCGTAATCCCACATTTGGAACCAAAAGGAAAAACATATTTAGATAACACAACTGAGTTTTTTTTAACTTTTTTTAAAATTTTTATTGATTACAGTTCATTCACTTTGTATTCTCCCTGTAGCTCCCTCCCACCTACCCTCCTTCCCTCTTCTCACCCATGTCCCTCCCCAAGTCCACTGATAGGGGAGATCCTCTTCTCCTTCCTTATTATTCTAGTCTATCAGGTCTCTTCAGGAGTGGCTGCATTGTCTTACTCTGTGGCCTTGATACAAAGAAAGACACACATGGTATATACTCACTCATATAGACCTATAAGATATGATTAACAGAATGAAATATATACACCTAAAGAAGATAAGGAGGATAAACAAGAAGGAGGACCCTGGGTAAGATGATCAATCCTCACTTAAAAAGACAAATGGGATGTGTATTAGATGTAAGAGAAAACAAGTAACAGGACAGGAGCCTACCACAGAGGGCCTCTGAAAGACACTACCTAGCAGAGTATCAAAGCAGATACTAAGACTCATAAGCAAACCTTTGGCAGAGTGCAGGGAATCATATGAAAGAAGGGGGAGTTAGTATGACCTGGAAAGAATAGGAATTCCACAAGGACCAAATCTATTTGGGCACACAGGTCTTTTCTGAGACTGACACTACACCACGGTCCATGTATGGATATAACCTAGAACCTCTGCTCGGATGTAGCCTGTGGTAGCTCAGTAACCAATTGATTTCCCATAGTAAGGGGAACAGGGACTGTTTCTGACAGGGACTCAATGGCAGGCTCTTTGACCTCCCCACCCCGCAAGGGAGGAGAAGTCCTCCTAGGCTACAGAGGAAGACTTTGCAGCCAGTCCTGAAGTTTCCCAATAAAACAGGGTCAGATAAAAGGGGAGGAGGTCCTTCCCAATCAGTGGACTTGGAAAGGAGCAAGGAGGAGATGAGTGATGGGAGGGAATGAGGGAGTGGGATACAGTTGGGATACAAAGTTAATAAAATTTAACTAATAATAAAAAATAAAATAAAAAATACAGTACAATTAGCTCTTTCTACAACTGTTCTGTAGGACTGTATGGTATACCAGTAATGTGCTTTAGATTATAATACACAAAAGTTTTTCATCTTACTGGACACATATGCGGATACACTATCAGCCTTAATTTGTGCAGGTATTCCCATAATTGCCATTATTTCCAATAACTGTTCAATTACACAATCAGCCTTTTCAGAACTTAAAGGCGTTGCCTATGGAAACCCTGAGTGTGTATCAATGGTATGATGTACATGCCGTGTTTTCTAATTCTACAAAATGAAACACATCCATCTGCCGGATTTCATTTCTTTGGTACCTCCAGGGTTACTTCCAAAGGTAATGGAGTTTGGTTATAGAGAAAACACATGGGGCATTTTTTATCACTTGGCAACAAGTGACAGAATTTTTTCTTTAATCCTTCACTGTTAACATGATATTTTTCATGAAAATTTCAGGCTTCTAACACACTTCCTATTAGTAATTGGTCAATTTTCTCATTTTCTTGTGCCAATTGACCTGACAAGAATTTATGAGACCAAATATAAGTAATATCAACTGGACAGTTGCTACCTCTGATGGCTTGTAGCAATTTCATAAATAACAAAGTCAATTCTGAGTCATCAGGAATAAATTTCACAGTTTCTATATGCAAAACAATTCTTTCTACATATTGTGAGGCAGTAATTACATTAAGAGATTCAGGAAAATCTAACAATACCATAAGGATTGGCTAGAATTCTGTTTTTTGAACTGAGGTATATGGGCTTTGGATCACCTTACTTAATTTGTCTGACTTGCATCCTGTCATTGCCATCTTGTTTGCATCGTTATAGAATGTGCCTCAGAATGGGTGTTGCTTTCACAATCTGTGGAAGAATCCAATTAGTTCTTTTTATAAACTGTAGATGTTTGCTTTTAGGATATTTGTTAT